ATTTCATTCATGTGGCTCACAGATTTTAATCCCATTTTACTCTGTGCTCCTCTTATTTAAACTTTAATAATCCTCCGTAGACTTAATGTTTATATCACAGCCATTATTTTCAGTCTTTCACTTAACTTACTGTCTGTGCTTGTACGGAAGTAATGGAAGTCACCTCTATAATCAGATGACACGAGTGCAGCAATAAGAAAATTGATTCAGTTCTCAGAGTTCACACCCCACAGTTTCAGCTTCAACAGATGATTTTATTTTCCTGACCAAAGCTTAGATTCTCTCTATATTTCTCCTAGTTTGAGAAACACTGCGTTAATATCCAAACATGGAGGTTTTTGCTTTCTCTGTGATATCACTGCAGGCTGTAAACACCAACTCTCGCTTCCTGTTTCAGTCCTGCCCAGTCTTATCGATCGACTGGGAGACGCCAAGGATCAAGTCCGAGAGCAGGACCAGGCACTTCTGCTGAAGATCATGGACCAGGCTGCAAACCCACAGGTACACTCACTCTTCATCTTATCTCCTTTTTCACACCTTTGGTCACAGGAGATCCACCTTAGCAGAAATACGTTCAATTACCATCAACATTTGTTGAATTTAAGTGGATCTTGGGAGCTGATATTTCATTCAAACAACTGTTTTGCACGATATAATAACCTCATGGTGGTGCTGACCTATAACATCTGGTGTCATAACTCTGCAAACTACAGGGAAACAAGGCGGCACAGGAGAAATTTTGCCATCAGGCATTTAAATTCAAATTTAAACTCACAGAAAAGTAAATTAGTCTAACACTCACATTTCCACCTGCATGTTTGGATTTATCCACCACTGTGTCGTCCTCCAACAGAGCGTCACCATAACGTTACAGGTGACATGTTAATGTCTCTCTGTCTTCTCCCTGTGTTCAGTATGTGTGGGAGCGAATGATGGGAGGATTCAAGCACAAGAACAACAGGACCAGAGAGGGACTCTGCCTGTGTCTCATCTCAACTTTAAACGTGTAAGTTATTAATATTATTGAAAGCAGTAACTGATTTATAATGTAACAGCAGGTTTGGCGCTTATATTTGGGACTCTGTTAACTCTTTGTTTGTTTATTTAGCTCTAAAGTTTCAGGAAATATTCAGAGAGGTTTATCACAGCTTCAGATATAAAACTGTCACATCTGATTTTTATTTCAAAAGTTCAAACCTAAAACTGGTTCATGGGATAAAAGAAAAGCTGCAAACCTTCACGTGCGAGAAGCTAGAGACGCTTTTGTTGTTTTTGCTTTTAAAAAACGCAGAAATGAGTGTGTGGGTGATTTTCAAAATAAAAGAGCACAAACTGGAAGTTTTATTCATAGTAAAGGAAGCGTACTGATGATGTCATGTGTCTTTGAGCTCACCTCCAGTTTTACTTGACTTTAGTCAGTTTTGTGTTTTGATCTTTCAGGTTTGGCTCTCAGAGTCTGACGCTCAGTAAAATCGTTCCTCACATCTGCAGCCTCCTCGGAGACCCCACCAGCCAGGTACAATGCCTACACACACACACACACACACACACACACACACACACACACACACACACACACACACCAGGTTACACTGTGGTTTGAGCCGCTTTCACACATGCACTGTGAACAGCTTCTTGAGGATCGAGTCGGATTGTTTTCCACAGGAAGTTGGAAAATGTCCGCTTCAGACATGTTCTCACATCAAACCAGGTAACGCTAGATGAATTACTTTAAAAAGACAGAAAATATATTAAAATGTGCAATAATTCAGCAGTGAATCAGTGAAAAGAATAATGCTGTCTTAAAAAGACAAGCTGCTACTTAATAAAGTAAGGCTGAGGATGTTTTAGGTTGAAAGATTTCTGCTGCTTCCAGCCGTTGTGTGAAAACTTAAAACCCCCTCACCAGTCATCATTTTACTGCTAAACTCTGGCTCATCTAGCAGAGATTAGCAGGCCTGAGGGGCTGTAGTGGTTCATATGCAGTCAGTATCTGAGACTTACATACTGGAGTGCTTCAGAAACAAGTGAAAGGACTTAACACTCAGGACAGCAGCTGAGCGGCAGTCGTGTGATGGCTTTAAACAGCTGTACTGTGCAGGTCAGCCAACTTCCTCCACATCCAGCTGGAGAACAGTTTCTTTAATCTGCAGTAATCTTGGTGTTTGACTGCCCTCTGCTGGTGGAGTTCAAACATTACACTACACCAGACCTGCTTTAGCTGATGTCAGACCCACACCGCTGTACAGGGATGAAGTCTGTGATCCTCCAGCTCTGCATCAGGATCCTCAGCTATCATCTGTCTGCTCCCCTCTCTGTTTGCTGTTTACTGATTGGTTCGTCATCGCCGGAATCGCACTTCCTCCTCAGGACAGGAAGCCGTGCCCATGAACTTCCCTTTCCAAAGCCAAACACACTCACGCATGCTCAGTGAGGCCTTCAGCTACCCTTATCAGATTTTAAAGTCTATAGTCTTTGTTTGATTTCATCACTAACCAGTTGCAGAGAGAAAAAAGTCACAGTTTTGAACACAGTTCAGATGTTTAGTTTAAAGTCGGTGTGTATTTATTGTTGCTTTTAATCTGCATCTAGACGAAAACAAAGAGAACGATTTAAACCAGTGTAACGTAGAGCTTCTTTCAAAATAAGAGTGAGAACATCAATGTGGACACGTCACTGTAAATGCTGATACACACACAGATGGATTTGCACCAGGACACAAAGTAAAGAAAGAAAGACACCTGGAGCGTTAAACATGTCATCACAGTCATGTGTTTTTCTGCTGTGACAGCAGCCAAAGAGCATCATGGGAGATGATTTTAATTGTTTTTAAAGTGACGACCACATATTCAGGATGATTTAAACCAAGCAATCTCTTTGTGTTCAAGTAATGTGTTTACCTGTCGGCCCACAGGTGCGTGATGGCGCCATGAACTGCCTGGTGGAGATCTACCGGCACGTCGGAGAGCGAGTGCGGATCGACCTGGGAAAGAAGGGCCTGCCTCAGTCACGGTGCGTTCAAAGCTCCCTGTAAATCTCATCATGTGAAGGGCTCTGTGGTACTGCTGGTGGTGCACACTCACATTACTCAGTTACATGTAGAAAAGTAACAGCCTTTTGAATAACTGTTCTTCACATTAGAAGGAAAGGCATTCACAGCCCTTTAAAAACACTGTTTCTGATTAGTTTTTTATTGATTGATTGGTTATTTAATCTAGAAAATATTAGAAAATCTATGAAGCCTCATTGATCAGCAGAGTGTCCTGTTACGCCAGAGTTTCACTTACATGTGTTTTATGTCAGTAATGAGATAGAGCTATAGAGGAAGAGTGGCTGTCTGCTGGAAGTTACAGCTGTTAATGAAAAACCTCAACAAGCAAAGTGAATTAGTGAAAACAGAGGAGGGAATGCTTCATCTCAGGCTCCTGTGGTTAGATGTTTGGGTTTTTACTGCTTAGATTGGCAGTGATGGTCTTATTAATTAACTGACTTTTAACTTCAGCTTTAATCTGATGATCAGTGTCTGATTAAATGGCAGATAATTAAGTTATTAATTGAATAATCAGGAAATAGTTTTCATTTTAATCACACAAACAGTAACTGACTGTTATCAATAAAGCTCGTCCTTTGAGTGATGGGTGCTTCCTCCTCCATCAGGTCAGCAGATGTGACAGTGACATTGTGGTTCTTGGTGTTTGTTCTAATAATATCTGCCGTCGTCTGTGTATTTTTGGAGGCTGTAGACTCTGTGCTGTTACTTTGGCCTATTTAAACGCTCTCCCAGGAGCCTGAAATGAGCCAGTTTTCTGTTTTTCAGAGGACACTCTGCACGCTTGAAGCCAGCAAGGCCTTTTTTTTTTTTTTAGCTTGGTGCTTTCCTGACATCATAACACCAGCTGCTTCTGACTGTCTGCTCCGTCTCTGTGTGCAGGCTGAACGTCATCTTCAGTAAGTTCGATGAAGTCCAGAGGTCGGGGAACATGGTCCTGTCACCTTTGTCGGGTAAGTCCTGCAGCGTTTGATGAGCTCAGTTTGGTTTATGGTGCCAGGGGCAGTTTTATGATGATGCTTCTGTTGTCATGGCAGCGTTAATTTGTTTATTTAATATTTACTATTGTCGATTGTTGAAAGCAGCCTCAAGACACGCGACATGTGACCCTCCCAAACTGCACCAAATTTGTCTGTCCATGTCAGGGCTCTAGACTTACTTTTTTTTTTAGGAGCACCAGCACAAAAGTTAGGTGCACCCAAATTTTTCAACCGCATTTGAACCCCACTGCTTTACATGTTCACTTTTTATTTTATTTTTTCAATTGCTGTCCATACAGACAATATTGATCTTGTCTTTATTTGGAGCACATTTCTACAAGAAAGAGAAGTTACTCAAAAAGTGCTTGTGCTTAAAGTACAATATTGTAGACAATGTTAAACTTAATCATCATCTCGGCCTCCTCTGACGACCTGTTTGCTGCTGCCTGCTGCTGAAAGGCAGTGGGGAGAGGGGACACATAGGCAGTGCATTTATCGCTTCATATAATGTGTTTTCTGGATACACTGTGCTTTTTCAGCCTTCAGAGGTTGATGGGTCAGGCCTTAACTTAACAAAAAAATTATCAATAGGTCTTTTCATCTTTTCACATTACCCACAGCTACATCCACTTATGTCAGGCCTAGGCTTCACACTAGGGCTGGGTATCATCACTGATTTCACTATAATCCATTCGATTCCGATTAATAAAGTCCCGATTCAATTCCATTCAATTTTGACTCAGACAGTCAGAAATACTATAATTCTGATCATTTATCAGTACTGACACTTGTGAGACTTTATCAGAGGTGTGAGCATCACACCACATGCCTTTGTGTCAAAGTAACTGAGGATAAAACACAGAAAAACATGAAGAATATTTTCCTGGCCTGGCTTTTTATAGCAGATAAGCTTAAAAATATTCTGCAGTAGAACAAAAACTGAAGAAAACCATGAGTGAACATATAAAGATGCTGCTGAAGTGAAGCAGAGCAAAGTTACAGAGGTTCTATTAGAGACACAGCTAAGCGGTTTGCAATTTGGCTTTATTTAAAAAAGTTTACATGTCTGTGCTATTAAACAGCAGACATGAGACTTTCTTGTCAGAGGTCTTTTTTTGGAAAAAAAAGAAAAAAGCCGACATCTCACTGATTCTGCTCTCATTTGCTGTTTTAGCTGTTTGGTTGGTTTTGAAATAGTTTTGTGAATTTTAAGATTCTGGCGTTTCTGGCAAAATACGTTTATATTTAAAAGTAGATTCAGGATTTAATGAATCGATATCGCTTTGTTAAAGCTACTCACCTCTCTCTATCTGCCTGCACTTTCAAACATACACGTGTGTGGGACCAATCAGGCCAATCAGAGAGGTCCCGCCCCTGACTATCTCTTATTGGTTTAGACAACGATATGGGCATAATGTGTGTCTGTTGTTGACCACGCAGAGACTTTCAGACTTGGAGAGGATTCTTTTTTGTCGCACCATTGCGAAATGAAGTTGCATATGTGATCAAATTAAGTCGCACTCTAGAGCCCTGTATGTGCACACTTACTGAACTCCATGATAGCCTCATAAATAAATCCAGAAGCATCCGAGTTACTCCTGTTGATCACCAGCTGACTTGCACCCAGTTTATGGTTTATATGTACTGAGTGTGTCCATGGAAAGTCCTGAATGCTGTTTTTGGGTAGCAGGAAATATTTCCAGTGTTTTCCAGCGCTGCTGGGATGGGGAATTCATTTTTATAAGTCAAAGATAATCTCTGTGTTGTGGTTTCATCTGTGTTTATGCACAAAATCAATCAGTCAGGGAGAAAACTACAAACAGGGCTGTCACTTTGTCCTCTCACACTATACTCAGCTGGTGCTTCTCATTCCTCTCGTGTTTTGGGGACTTCCTTACCTGGATGATTGAGATGTTATCGAGATGTTTTCACAGATTTAGCTTCCTGGGCGATGTTTTTTAAAAAGTATAATACAGAGTTAACAAAGAGTTCATATCAAGTTACAAAGTTGCAAAGCTGAGGAAAACTGAAGCCTGATGGTTTCTGCTGTGAGCGAGCAGGATATTATCCACACAGTTTATGTTTTCACATCCAGAGATAAAGAACATCCGAATCTAGGGTTGGACCATTAATCAGAGGTTCATCTTAATTATAATCTTGGCTTTCAGTGATTATGAAAGCATGATAATGGAGATAAAACTGGAGATAAAACAGTTTCTCTTTTGTCTGTTCTTTTTCCCTACAAAGCTCTGAGTTTGTCTTGTGTTTCAGTGCAGAAAACAGGAAACCTTGTTAGACATATCAGTAGAAAACAGCTGCAGTTCTCTGTCTTCAAGTAAAATGATACTGATACACTTTGAGTGTCCTTTGATCAGAAAAAAGAAAAAAAAGACCAACATTTATGAATTTCTTGAAAGGAACAAATCATGAAGACGTGTTTGGACTGGTTTGGTGATGAATAGATGGAAAGATTTTGGTGAACAAGATCTGCTTAGATGTTTATGTAAGTTAACCTGTGAAGGATTATTAACTGGTAGAGCTGCCTTCTTCTCCGATCTCTCTCCGGGTCCTTTTTGGTGATGCCTGACCAAAGTTTTGATTGGCTGGTCGGCTCTCCACTCATCTGTCCATCTGGACTCTGACGGCCAATAGCGAACAGTGGTCGCCCTTTCAAAGTGGGCTTTTTCTGAAACACTCGCTAGCCTAGACGCCTGACTCAATAACAGATGGTCCTGTGTGCATACCCATTTCTTCTGTTTGTTTATTTAGTGGTTTCTCTTTTCACTTTCACATAACAAACACTTGGTGTTTGGTAAGTTAATAAGTAATGATGCTAAATAATCAAGATTACAGTTAATAACTAAGATAACTGTGATTTCTTTGTACTGCAGATGAGACCATCTGTCTCATTTCTATAATGCTGACTGCGTCATAAAGGCCTGAGGAGCTTTAAGAAATCAGAGATGTGGCTCAGATGTCTGAAACACACACAGGCCCAGTAATGTGTGACACCATTAATGCTCTTTTCAATAGTTTCTGCTCAGTTATAAGAAGTTTCTGCTTCATAAGGAGGAACTGAGGGGAAAGACTTTCCCACTGAAGAAGGTGTTCGTTTTTTAAGGTAGCACACAAAGTTCCTTACACATGTTTTACAGCAAACGTGCAATTATATCCGGGGATGTCCTGGCATGGAAGCATGTTTGAATTTTGTAATTTTCACTTTCTGATAATATTTTGCTCATAAAAATACGTTCATACAAAAATTAAAAACCCACATATCAATTCTGTGGCCCATTAAAAAATTTAATTTGCTAATTGGATTTATTCCTCTCTTTGTCTCTGTTGGTCCTGTGGGATTCTGATGGAGGCTGTAAATCTAAAAGTGAGAGAAAGTACACGTTGTACTCATCAGTGAGTCTCAGTGTTTCTGCTGGGAAGCCCTCTCCATGGTGTAAAGCTGTGCGTGCTGTCTTTCAGTGAGAAGGAAACCCGAGTGCCTTCTTTGTTCCTGTGGACTGAAATGAGCAGATTTCAGTCACTTTGCTGCAGGAAAAGTGACCCTGCAGAACACAGACGGGACAGTTTACACAGTGAAAAGCAGCTACTTATGTTTAGTGCTATGGCTGTGTGGCAGGACAGGGAAAACTGCTGAGCAGTCATTAAAGAGGATGAATATTGTTTCTGAGCAGGTGTGTTTTGTTTGTCTCTGTGTGATCTGTGCACAGAGGTTATGGTTAGCAGACCAGAGCGAGTGACATTAAACTGGTTTGATGGTCTCATGAACTCGTTACCTCGCTCCATCTCTGTGGTCACATGGGTCAGCTTTCATCTCAGGAGGTGCTCAGCCTTGAAAAGAAAGGCACAACCACCTTCCTTTAGGAAAGCCTGATGATCATTCATCCCAGGTTTTGTTGTTAATGAATATATCTGCCATATTTGAGGTCAAACATGTCCCAAGATGTTTCAGCGTTACTGCAACAGAGGGAAACGTGTATTTGTTATTCATGTAGAGGCCCACAAAACCCAGTGTTTACAGATGATTACATACAGAGAAAAAACAGCAGCTGACACACGTCATATTTATAAACCTTAAGTCTGCTCAGATTTAATCTTTAAGAAAAAGAAACTTCATCACACAGCACATTCATTTATCTAAGTGTATAAATATAATAAACTGAAGTGAAATAACCAGGTTTGTTTCAGGTAACAGGAACAGAAACACAAGAGATGAAACTCTGACTTTTCTACATCTTCACTAAATCTGACTCATTGAGAATCACTTTGTCTCTCTGGTTTTAGTAAACAGTTTATCCTGATTAATTTATAAGGTGACGTAAGCATGACTGCTAACTACACAGCACCTGTAATGAGTCCGTGTTACATTACCTGACAGAAATCTGTGTATTTTTCTGTTATTTTCTGACCATCCAATGAACATAAATGGGCATTATGCACGAGTAAATGAAATCTAGTACCACACTGACCCCTGGATCCAGAAGGATCTCTGGATCTGGATTAGATTGTGATATCTTCCTGAGAACTTCAAGACAAAAGCAGACAGTTTTTCTTATTTCAGTGTGATTTGTTTTTGCAAAGCTCTTGGAAAATTTTCAGTTTGCTGATGTCTCACAGGGCAGTGTTGTAATGGATCCTTCCAAAAACTACTGGACTCTGAGCTGCACTTCAAAGATTGATCACTTTAAACCGCACTGAGCTCTGATCAAATTCTACCGCAGATCTGTTCTGATTACTGAGTAATCCTGCTGGCAAGCAGACAAGCTGGACTGATGACATTGGCTGCTCTTCAGAAGTGATGATGTCACATTTAAAAGCTGACTGAACAGCTAATGACTAAACGAGTCCTGACATTGATAAAGACTCACTCCTGTGTGTAGTGCTGGGCCCTGTCTGTCAGCTGAACTGATACGGAGGACTTATTTCACTTTCCTCAGACACGCGGCCTGATTGTTGATGAAGACTGGTGAAGATTACAGAGCGGCCAGACTATTAATATCTATTTCAGGGAAAGGTGTCACTTAAAAAAAACTAATTAGGGAGGTTTTTGTGTTCATCAGTGTGTTTCAGCCGCACAGCAGAGGAGCAGGAAACTTCACACTGACCTGGAAAACAGGGACGGGAGTCACAGAGAGCAGAGAAGTGGACCAGAGTGACAGGCAGGAAAAGAAAGGAACAATAAAACAAAGTGGGAGTCAGTCACAAAGAAGAAGTGTCTTTACTCTCAGAGCCCAGGGCTCTTATTTTGTAAGAGCAGTGTCAGCTGTCGTCCCTACAGTCACAAGACTGGGTTGGAGGGGAAGGGAGGAGGCAGGCAGCAGTGCGTTAGCTCGGAGTGGCTGACAGGACGCTAGCATTTGTCCTCCTGCAGATCCACAGGGGACGGTGTCGCCTCTGCAAGCAGACTGCCGTTTGCAGGTAAATAACAAGTCGGAGCATTTTTCTGTGAAACCTACAGGCCTGCTGTAACCGTCTGCAGAGTTCAGGGAGGACATCTGATCTGAGCTGCATGTTTGTCTTCATGTGAGAGCTGATTAACGAAACGACTTTTTCTGTAATCCTTCATAATTACATCATAATTAGGATCCGAATGCCACAAGTAGCTGAAGCGCGCTGATGTGTGTAATCCTGCTGCTCTGCTCCTGCTGAAGCATTTCACTCGTTCCCAGTATCCTGGGAGAAATGACTGCTTTAATTTGAGGAAAACTGCTGCTTTCTGCCTCTGTTCTGCTTGTTGTTGAAGTACTCGGGTTTCTCAAAGGAAGATTACCTGTCAAGTCGGGCTTGAACCTGATTTGAAACAAGTTCTGTTTCTTAAAGGAGGCTTAAAGAAGTCATAAAAGCAGATAAATAGGAGGTAAAGTGTTAGTGGTTTAAAAACTGACATCAACCAGATCTCATTGCTTCTCTGATCACTTTGCTCTCCTGTACATTAGAGCTGTTATAAATCAGAGACAGAGCTCGAGGCAAGTCCATTTAAACCCTTATGAATGAACAATTGATTCATGGCTGTATTCTTAAAGCAGCCATAACACAGTGAAGGGATGTTAACATTGATCCTGAGCATGTGATCTCATTACATAGTTTTACCGAAGCCCCGCAGCTCACACAGTGCGCATAAATAACCTTCTGCACGTCAGATCGTCATATCTGCGGTCGGGACGAACGCTTTCATTTTCCTGCTCTGGGATTTTTTTTGGTTTCATGTGTTATCTCTGACCTCGCTGCGTGACGCAGGAGGTCCCGCAGGTGGGAGGTGCTGACAGACGAGGCCAGGTACAGGCTGCCAGCAGGACTTGGGTTGCACAGTTGGAAAGCTCGTGAATAATGAAGGCCGTGCAGAGACAGAAAGGACACGGTGCAGCGCAGAGACTCCCCCGGCTGTTTGGAAAACAGAATAATAAAAGAACAAAGACCGAGGGCTCACAGCCTCTAACTCGCTGCTGGGTGCTGTAGTACTGACCTGATCGGTTAAGATCGGTTGTTATTTTAAAGGTTTGGGCCTTGACCTCTGACACCACAAACATTCAGAGGTGCAGGGATGCAGTTTTTCCAGACTTTAAAAGTATCTGACTGGAGCTCTGAGGGTTTGTCCAACGACACAACAGGAACCGTCCTCTCCACAGAGACACAAGGACACCAGACAGGAAATGTTCACTCCCAACAGGAATCAAGACTGGCTGACCCTCAAAACCCGACACACAAACATCTACATAGCTGCGCATGTTCAGACCTTTCATAATAAAGAGTCTTCCAAGTGTAACATTTGAATTCAGTTTGTTTAGTTAGAATCTGTTTGTTGCACACCCGCCTGAAAATGTGACTGAGTTCCTGCTAAAACAGGAGTCTAAACAGTGAAGCGTGATATATAAAAAGGATGGGGACAGTAACTCAAAGCAGTTTAATCCCAAGAAACAGGAGAAAACGGAGGTAAAGAAACAGGCAGTTCTAACTTTCTGCTTCAGTAAACATGAATTAATCTGTTTGCAGATCAAACTGTGAGCTGGAAAAACTGAGCTTTGCTTAAGAAGCGCAGCATGAAGCAGACACTGCTGATGGCTGACAGCATGCAGGGGGCCTTTCAGGACTAGTTTAAAAATTTGATGATGTTTTAGTTTGTATTTATGCAAAAATATAAAAAATTGTTCACAAACTTTTCCCAGCACTTCTTGTCTCAGTTTGAGAGAATTAAAATGAAGATGGCAGAAGCCTCTTTGTGGTTCCTCAGCTTCATCCACAGACCAGCAGCAGTCTGAGCTGCAATATGAAGCAAAAATATTCAACCTTAACCTCTTCGACCTCTCAGATGTACAGATCTGCTGCTTTTCTTTGTGTTTTCAAGGTGAGACATGTTTTCTGACACGCTGTAACTCCACAGTGTGTTCTTGGCTGTAATCTGATGAGAAAACGTGACCGAAGCCTGAGATTTCTGTGGGAACGCTCCTCCCACTGTTGTTGCAGGTGAAAGGCAGGGAGGTGTTGAAGTGTTACCTTAAGCCTGCAGGCTGCCTGATCATGTAATTGTTGTTTTGTTTTTTTTATGCTGAAGCCTCCAAAGGCGGGGCGGGGGGTTAAAAAGGCTGATTTGATCCGTGCAGGAAGGGATAACCCGCTGTGAGTCTGTTCTCCCACGCTCCCCAGTCTCAGGTTTCTTCCCAGGTCTGTGATGTAACACCTCCCTTCGTAAACGCTTCACCTCCTCCCCGGTCATTTTGTGCATTTGCATCAGGGCGATCAGCTGTCAGACCCCATCAGTGTCCAAGCTCCCCGAAGACTGTGAGACGCTGCCAGGAAGGAAACTTGTGACCTGGCGTGGCGAGGAGGTGCATAGTTAGTCACAGTCGCTTTGTTAGATTTGTTCGATTACGATTATTAGTCGTAAGTGTGGATCTGTCAGGTGGGAGCAGTTGTTTATATCTCTGTGGTAAAGCTGTAAAAGTAACAGCGAACTTCACATATTTAACATGTCAAACACCATTTACTTTTTTTCATGTAATCTCCCAAAACTCTCTTTATATGAAACTGTTAGTACAAAACCCAAGAAAAAAAATGGAGATTTGAGGGGTTTTGTTTTGGGTTTTTTTTTATTGTTTTTTTTACCTGATTTTTGTTTCTGAGAAAAATGAGATTCACATTAAATTTCAAACAGTGGCAGTATAATGTCCTCGTAAGTGGATATCAGGCCCTTGTAGAGCACAATTTAGTATTTTGGTCTAGACAACCCAAAATGTGATGTCCACATATGTGGACGCCAGGTCCTGGGACGCTAACAGAGATCTCTTTACTGAGAAAACACACCAGTGTTCATCCATCTAAACTGTCCTCCTGCTCTCAGTGGAGCAGTTTGCATTAAACCCTTGGGAGTCATCAGTCCGACTGATACTCTAGACACATCTCAGAGCTGCTCTGTGTGTAAAGAACTATGTGTTGGTGCTTTTTTTCATCCTGTGTCCATCCTCTGAGCGTTTCTGTTTACTCTGTTTAAACTCAAGATGGTGTTTCTTAAGCATACATTCAGGATGTGCATGTAGTGATACTGAGGGCTTATTGTTTTGCATCACTGTGAAAAAGCGTGAAGGGACAGATTTACTGGGCGACCGTGGCTCAGGGGGTTGGGAATCGCATAACCGGAAGGTCGCCAGTTCGATCCCTGGGCTCGCTGTCCTGGTCGTTGTGTCCTTGGGCAAGACACTTTACCTTATTTGCCTACTGGTGTTGGCCAGAGGGGCCGATGGCGTGATATGGCAGCCTCGCTTCTGTCAGTCTGCCCCAGGGCAGCTGTGGCTACAACTGTAGCTTGCCTCCACCAGTGTGTGGATGCGAGAGTGAATGAATAGTGGTATTGTAAAGCGCTTTGGGTGCCTTGAAAAGTGCTATATAAATCCAATCCATTATTATTATTATTTATATGAATGAAGACTTGTTGAGGCAGTTCATTTATTTATAGGCCGCTGAGATTGTTAGATATTTCAAAAATGAAGCAAAAACACGACAACAGTGCAAGAAGAAGAGTAAGAAATGTAGGAAATGATTCTTTAAACTGTTTTAAGTATTTGAAGAACTGATATTTTGTTATTTTTATTCTTGACCTTCTGCATGTCCGCGCTGTCTTCCTGTTTCCCTGCCCGTGTACTAGAAGAACGAGGATGTGAAAGGAAATGTGTTATGGCTCTGTCAGCATAAAGTGTGGTAACTGTGCCATCTTGTGGAAGCAGAGCAGCTTTCTGACATATAATGTGCACGAGTATCTCCTTTGATCGGAAAACTGTTTAAACCAGACTGAGCAGTTTCTGCTGTCTGACCTTCAAGGTTATGCTGATGAATATAAATGAAGCTGACGGTGACAGCAGGGGGAGTGTCTGTGTGTTTTCTCCTGAGGGGTTAAAGGTGGAGGTGCTCTGCTTGCATTCAGAGGGTGCATTTAACAGTCAACTGAAGTCACTCTGAGACACTCTCGGTCTCTTTAAAACGACGTGTTAAATTTGATTATCAGTCCTAAACCTCTGAATCTTTGATCAGCATAGCAGTTGAAACAGTTGGTGTTTATTTATTGATTGCTGTTGTCTCTGGGAGGAAAACCCATGAGCCAATCAGAGCTCGGCTTATAGGTTTGTAAAAGAGACATCTTCTTTCATCTACTTTCTAAAAGAAAATGAACCTTGTGCTGAGCCTGGGTAATGTAGGGTTTAAGCGCCATGTTTGTAGTTTATAGCACCGTGTTGTTGTCTGTTTTGTGATTGAGACAGATGGATTGTTGAAATTTAAATGATTCAAAGCCAACAGCGTGTACTCCCGTGTTGATGAATCTATGAGTTGATTGAATGCTGATTGGCTGAAAAGTTGAACTGAAGAAGAAATGGAGCGATGGCCATATATTGGAGACTTTAATTGACATTTTCTGCTCACCTTTGTCGTCTTTGCACATGTGAGCCATGTGGCTGGCTTGGATGGCTGCCTGTGTAAAGTGGTGGACGAAGCAGTGGTAGGTCTGGAGGCACGATGGGGCGGGCAGGTCGGTCAGTATTGGTCTATGTATGATACGTTAGCTCACAGATGAAGACCACAGCAGGTCAGGCTCTCCTCAGACATGATTATGAATGATTGTGATGCTTTGATGGCGTTACAGTTTGTGCAGTCAGGGCTCAAAGCATCATCCATGCAGACCAGCAGTGTTGGTTGGTTACTTAAAGAAAAACCAACTCTTACATCACTGTGATGGTGCTGGGTTAACTGGGTGCTTCTCGCAGCTTCAGATCGCACTGAGAGAACTTCAGAAGCAAACGTATTTTTCATGGTGTCTTTTATTTTGAAAAAAGACCAAATGCTCTATGCCGTTCCTCTGCCTGACTTCCTGCCCTCCTCAGCAGCTCTCTGTGACAAACGGTCACAACAGAGAGCTGTGGAATCACGAGAGCTGT